GGGAAAGGACATCCCAGCTCTGTGATGCCCTTGGATTTCATTATTTCTTAGTTGCAGCTGCCTGCCCTGCTGTGGCACCCTGCCATCCCTGGGCCCTTGCTGCTTCCCCATGCTTGGGCAGGTGACCTCAGCAAGCAGTGGGATGTCCACTCCGAAGTTTGGCACTGGCGAGGTGATAGGTTCTGTGTTCTGGTGAAAGACACCTGGATTTGTGTATTTTATTCTGAAAGGCAAGACCTCAAGGTAGTGCACCCCCGCTCGGGGCTGTTACAGCCTCTCTCCATGTGAACTCTTTGTTGTTCCTCTTGGATACCTCCACACAGACACATACCTGGACCTACAAGAGCACAAAAAGCAGCAGCAGCATTCCTACATGCTCTGGAAATGATGGGAAAGAAGCTGCTGAAAGAATGCTGCCTCAGCATTGTTGGGTTGATTGTCAGTAGGGCTAAGAGTGAACATGCCACCAAGGAGAACAGGAGTTTCTACTGCCTGTATGCTGGGAGGGCAAATCTCGCAGTCTCAGCCAGGAAGTTGCAGTTCAGCCCTGGCTTCAGTGGGAGTTTGATTTCTGTGGGGTCGCACGAGGCCATAGATAAAGTCAGAAATGCTTGTCTTGGTGGTGTCCCAACAGCCGCCTACTGGGAATGCAGCTCTGCCAGGGAACAGGGCACAGGGTCCCCCACCTTGGCATGCATCCCCAGCACTGTGACCTGAGGGGACCCCACACTGGCTGCTGGGTCTCAGCTCACACAGTCCCAAGCGGATTTGGGGAGAGATCCTCTAAAAAGGCCTCATTCTCCTCTGATCGCATTAGGGAGGATAAGCCCTGGGCTGAGAGTGGGCACAGAGCAGGCAGAAACAGTGCTGGGGCCCTGGGAACCTCTCCCAAAACCACAGCCATGCTCTCAGCCCCATGGCAAGGCAAGGGGCACAGGTCCCTGCTCCCCTGAGCTGTGCCACCACCACCTTTGACCTGACTATCATGACCTACTGCTCTTTACTTAAGTATTTTTATTTTTCTGCTTCCTTCTAGCCACCACGATGGCCTGGAGTCGGGCAGTGAATATGTGAAGGTAAGACACTGAGTGTGATCTCAGCCGGGTCCTACACCCAGTGGGGTGCTCAGCTCTGCACCCCTCATCCCACCATCCCCTTTGGGCTCTCTCTTTGGCTCTGGAATAAATTCCCAGCAAGGCCAGGGAAGGCAGAGGAGACACCAACCCTACGTGATCCCCCCAGTGCTGCTCCCACAGGAGCTGCCTGCATTTTGTGTTCCAAGTTACTTGTGAACACCCATGGACGCAACCTCCTCCCTCCGCCCCCACGTAGAGGAACGGAAGGGTTTGAGCCACTTTCGTGGCTGTCACATGAAAGTTGGTGTAAATCTCTCCAAATCTCTTGCTTATCCTCCAGCAAACTATTAACATTCCTGAGGACTCTTCATGTCTGGCCAGAAATTCATTAGCGAGGCGCCTGGCTCCGGAGGAGAGCGGCCCTTTTGCAGGAGGCTGCTGGCACGATGGGCGCTGGGCAGGCACAGGGGAAGGGTGGCAGGGATGCTGTGTGGTTTGGGCACAGAGCACTGGAACCTGCCCGGGTGGTCACTGCCATGCCATGGCCTTTGGGGAGTTTGTTTGAGGAGGGTTGGTCCAGTCGCCCCATGGGGCAGACGTGGTTGTTGAGAAGTGACTTGAGGTGCCCAGCTTGGGTGGTCTGGTTAGTACAGAGCCCTGAACCTTCATCTTTGGACTTGGGGCTCTTGGTGGCGGCTGTAGCCAGACCTGGAAATGTGGGAACACCCTGTGGCAGCACCAACTGCCAGGATCAGGAGACCCAGCTGGACCCTGAGCTCATCTTCTCTTCCTAATGGGGGTCACCACGATCCATAGGGCTAATGAGGACCCCACATGCTGAGTCTGGCAACTGGCAGCCTCCAGACAGCAGGGTTGGATGAGGCTTTTAATGTGTAGAGTGATCCCCTGGCAGGATGTCCTCCTCTCCACACCCTTTAGCCATGTGGAACTGGCAGAGTGGGAGCTCACAGGGCTGGAAGTGGATGTGTGCCAGAACAATGAGGCTCTGACTGGGTGTATTGGATCTGGCTGTAGTGGAGTTCATTTTCCCCTGAAAACCCAATACTCTGGGCTTTGCAGGGTAGGGTCCTGGTGTGAGGTGCCTCAGGATGTGCAGGAAAACTCCTGCTCATGCAGGTAAGTCCTGCAAGAGCAAGGAGGTGGTGAGGGGAGGAACAAGATGATTTGGGGGGTTTGCCCTGGCACTGTCAGTGTGTGCACTCAGAGATGGGCGCATTTTACGGCTCATGAGTTAATAGACTGAGACAACACAGGTGGGTAACAATGGGTATGGCTCTGTCTTTGAGATTGAGCTCTTTTTGGTGAGCCAGGAGAATTCCCTACCATCCAGGTAGATCCCAGATCTGAGCTATCTGGCCCTTATTTCTCATCCATCCCTGTGATGTCCAGCCAGTGCCCACGGGCTGTGATTTATATGCCACTTCCCTTCGGTCAACTGATGGCTGCAGTGACAGCAGCTATTTTAGTCAAATAAGTAATTATCTGGAGTGTGAGTGACCGGGATGACGGGGACACTCCAGCTGATTGCAGGCGCTGTGCCTGGCTGGCAGCCCGTGCAGCTGCAGGGTGTTCAGCACCCAGTGGTGTTCAGCCCCAGGTCCTGCAGGATTCAGGGTGGGAAGGTGACTGCTGTGCCTGCCTTCAGAGCAAGGGAGGACAGGGCTGGGACCTGCCACTGGAATAGGTCCTTGTGACTGAGAGGGAAACAAGCAGAAGGGAAACACCGGTGAGGGGCAAGCAATGGCAAGACAGGAAGGAAAGAGTCGGTGAAGGAGAGTGAGGAGGAGAGAGAGGATGTGCTGCAAAGCCCTCATGAGCAAAGGCTGATGGGCCTGTGTCCAGGTGTGCACTAAGGATCTGCCAAACATCAGCCCTTGAGCTTCAGCCAAAAACTGGCCAGGGCCAGTGCTCCCATCACAAAGCCTGCCCTGATTAGAGGTGCAATTGGGAGCTAGAGAGGGTCAGAAAGCCAGGATCAATAAGTACTTGGTAATTAATGTGCTTTAATAATGGCCTAAGGGGTGGTATTTCCAAGCTGCCTGGGGATCTGCACGCTTGGCTCTGTATTTTAACATCCCAGCCAGCCCAGCTTTGGCCCCTGCTCAGGTGGAGGAGCTGCAGAAAGGTGTTAACCTTTGGGAGAGGAGCAGCCAGTGAAGCTGCTGCATGTCCCTGCGAAAGCTCAGTCAGGGCTTTTCAGCTTCCCTCTGAGGGACAGCATGAGCACAGCTGGAGGACACCTCCCTGCAGCACCCCATGAGGCTCCTGCTCGATCATTGCTGAAAGCCTCAGAGGGAAACCATGGAGCCCGTCACAGGGAGAAGCCTTGGCAGGAGGATGATTCACCGTCGAATCTTTTTGGAGCAGCGTCTCCCTGCATGCTGCCATCTGCTCTGTCCCTCAGCCCCAGGCAAGAGGCAAGGAGGAGAGCCCACGCTTCCTGCCCATCCCGGCAGGGCTGCAGGCACCCATGGGACCCGTGAGCACCTGCTGCCCTGTGTTCCCTCCTGCAGTCTGTGTGCTGTCCCTGTTCTCCCACACCTCATCCCTGTCCTGCTGCTCTCCCCTCTTCTCTCTCTCCAGCAAAATCAGGGGCAGAGCGAGGGCCCAGCCAGCGCCTCTGAGCTCTTTGTTCTGCGCTCACGCAGGGACCTGTATCTCATCAGCCCTGGCTGCTGTCTCCTTGCCTGGGGATGTGAGGGACTCATTTGAATTAATTAGTGGGGAGGCTGCAGGGTTCTGTGGTCAGTAGCAGCAGAAATACCTCTCTGAGGTCACAGCATCGCCCTGGAGGCAGGGGGGTCCTTGGGCCAGGACATGCTTTGCAGATGGGAACCTGAAACCCCCCATTACCAAAGCACAGCCAAATCCAGGCCATGCAGTGCTCCAGACCTGGAATGAGAACAGCAGGATGTGGGTTCATGTCACTGCCTAAGGCTGAAGAAGCCCCTGCCTGTCTCCAGTGCAGGGCAGTGGGTTCAGGCAGGCATTTGGGAGGCTTCAAGAGTCAAGGCTGGAGCAATGCTTTGAGTCATCAGTGCTGCCTCGCACATCCCATACGTGATACCGTGGCCTTAATTAAACCGAAGTGGAGCCTTAATTAAACACCAGTCGGAGACGGCCTACGCAGGAAACAGGCAGCCAGCTCCCCACCATGTGAGGTGGGCATGGGTGTGTCCCCCAGAAAGGCACCACCAGACAGGGTGAAGGAAGACAGGGTGGGTGAGGGTAAGGCAGCCCTCGACCCATGTGCATCACTGGGGAAAGCAGGTGGATTTGGGATGGGGAAAAAGCAGTGTCTGATCCCCTCAGAGGAGCTAGTTTCTCACAGGACACGGACAGTCGGGGGGGTGTTCTTGGTTTCCCTCCGGGGTGCTGGTTCCCCTCTGAGGAGCTGAGTCACCTCAGAGGAGCCAGTTCCCCTCAGGGCATGGGTAGCCGGGGCGCTGGTTCCCTTCAGGGGTGCACGATTCCCCCAGGGTGCCAGTTCCCCTCAAAGCACAGGCAGCTGGGGTGCCTGATCCCCTCAGGGATGCTGGTTCCCTTTGTGACACGGGAATACCGTTTCCCCTTAGGGGAGCTGGTTCCCAGTTCCCCCCAGGGCGCAGGGAGCCGGGATGGAGGTTTCCTTCGGGGCTGCCTGATCCCCTTGGGGTGCCGGTTCCCTTCAAAGGAGCTGATTCTCACTTCTCCTCAGGGCAGGGACAGCTGGGATGCCGGTTCCACGCCTGACCCCTCAGAGATGCCGATTCCTCTCAAAGGAGCCGGTTCCCTGCAGGGCTCAGGCAGAGCCGGGGCGCCGGTTCCCCTCGAGGTGCCGGTTCCCCGGAGCCGGGGCGGCCCCTCGGGGCGGGCCGGGGCGGAGCTGCCGCACCGCGCCCGCCCCTCCGCCGCCGACAAGGGATGAGGTAATCGGGGAAGCGGCTGAAATTGAAGCCCGGCGGCGGCGGCGGCAGCGGCGGCGGTGCAGCCCGGGCCGGGGCAGCCCCCGCCGGGCGCGCCGCGCCATGACCGAGCGGTGCAGCCTGTGGAGCGCCCTGTCCGCGGCCGCCTGCTGCTTCTACCGCGGCTCCTTCATGCAGGTGCAGGTGAGCGGGGGGCGGCGGCGGGACCGCGCCGGCACCGCACCGGCACCGCACCGGCTGCCCCGCGCTCGGCGCGGAGTCCCCGCGGTGCCGCACGCGTGGGGAAGGCGATGGGGAGCCGCGGGAGGGGGGAGCGCACGGGGGGACCCGCGGCCCCGCACCAGCCGGAGGCAGCTCTGGTCCCCGGGGGCAGCGCTGGAGAGCGGGAATGCGGGGGAGCCTCCCCGGAGAGCCCCGCGATGCCCCCGCGCTGCCCCGCTCGCACGGAGCTGGTGCGGGCACCGCGCCGGCGGCTCTCGACGAGGCGGCAGCGAGCGCGGGGTGAGCGGAGCACCGGGGTCGCGGAGCAGAGCTCAGCCCCCTCTGCAGCCAGGGCCACGCAGCCAGAGTCGCCGCATCCCCCCCAGACCTGCGTTTTGACAGGCGGCAAAGTCTCTAGAAGGAGCCCTCGCCTGCGGCAGACCTCATGGTGCTAAACCTCGTTTAGCATCCCCCAAAAGGGGGCATGTGCTTGGAGCGTCACTGAGCACAGAGAGGACACTGAGCCCAGATGAACACGCAGCTTCTTGGCCCAGGTCTCCATCTATGCGCTGCACTGCACAGGTCTGACTGGTGGGAGAAAGCTGGGATCCATCTGTCACCTGTCCTGTGGTGCTTCCAGCACCGCCACTGTCTGGGCACAAGTGTAGGTGTCCTATTTTTGGACACTGGTGTTCACACCAGAGAGGCATGGCACTGGGAATTGGTTCCCTCATTTACTGAGTTAGAGAGCAAAGGTGTTAAGGACTGCAGGAGCCAAGCAGGCTCAGATCTGAAGCACAAGCTGTGGCATACTGCAAGTTAGAAGGGAGCCAGCAGCCAAGAGAGCTGGCAGTCTTATTCAGTACTCCTGCTGAGCGAGGTAGGTGCCGAGCTGTAGAGATTATGCTGGGTAAGACGGAGCCCAGAAGCAGCATTTCAAGTCTTGTCATGATTGCGGCTGATCTCAGCGCAAAGCCAGGGATTTTGATTGCTAGTGGGGGTGAAGAGGGAAAAGCAGAAGCGCTTTTCCCAGTTGTCCAAAGGCCAGCGAGCAACACGGGGACGTGCCCTTGGGCTGCACATTGCAGGGGGTGATGGGGTGCTTTCAGAGAGCTGCTGCCAGAACAAGGGAGAGACAGGTCTGGCTCTCACAGAGAGACATGAGAGGAGATGGAGGTCACTCCATCCCGACCCCAGAAAGAGTTAAAAGTGAAGCCTTAAGTGCTCACCTGGCTCTGCCAGATCTTTCACCATCTATTTGTGTCCAAGTGTGCCCAGCAAACACACACTGAAGTCCCCATGAATGACTGGAGCGCTTCCAGCTGACAGCCGCATCCCTGCTCACCGCCAATGGCGGTGCACCCAGCCTGGGAAGCACTGACATCATTTCTGGCCAATAGCAGCTCCGAAAAGGGATGCAGCAGCAGCCGCTGCTGCCGTCTTGGAGTGAGATAAGTAATATATAGATGGATGGAAATGTGTATATACACACACCCCCCATCACTGCACTGTAGACCTGCTCCCCTGGGGCAGCACTAGCAACACACTCTGCCACCCCACCACACAACCTGGGGCTCTGGTCTCACCTCAGAGCACCCAGATGTTGCTGGCCATCAACCCCAGCTGCACCCCACCCCTGCCAGCCACATAGAATTGCTCCAGAGCTGCCACAAAGGAGCATAGACAAGGACAGAGGAGACCTTGAGGGTAGCCAGGACCAGTCCTAGGAAGGACTATGCACTCCAGGACAAAGATCTTGAGCCAAGGTCTGCCTCCAGTGGGGACTAATGGAGATGTGACATAGCCAAGAGATGCCTTCAGTCACCCATAGGGTGTGCAGACATAGGCTGGTGCCTTCTCAGAGGCCATTTAGATGCAAGAGAGGACAGGAACAAGTGAATTCTTTTCCACACGGATATCAAGATCAGCAGGACATACTGGCTCGCAGCAGGGTATGCAGACTGAGAGTGAGCCCATCGCAGCCTGAGGGTGGTTTGTGGGGGGATTTTCTTGTGGTTGTGTGGGGTGGAGTAACCATTCTTGGGTGGTACCTGTCAGCTGGACTGGTGAGCACAGCAGCCCTGCACCGGGCAGGCACACAGACTGGCTCTTGGGTTTACTGTGATACCATCTATCCCTAAGCAAGGATGTTTGCTCTAAAATACTTCACTGAAGTAGCCCATTACCAGGTGTGGAGGGAGCAGAGAAGACCCCTCACACAATTCTGTGGCTTTCCCCATACACCTGTTCCCAATGGCTTGTTACTCCATTTCCTCCCAGTTCTGCTTCCCAGGCCCCATATCTACTCCAGCAGCCAAAACAGGGGTGGAGAACTCCAGAAAGGGCTGGGATTTCCCTAGCAAGGGTCCCAGCACAGGGCAGGCAGCAGGAGAGCAGGAGGGAGAACAGATGTGCTCAGTGCCTTGGGGTTATTCAGATGTTATCAGCAGAAGAGCGGGGTGGGGTGTGAGTACACCTTGCTCTCCAAGCTGACTTCATCATCTGCAACTCCTCCAGATCTGGGAGGGGAGAGCAGGAAAGCAAATGGAAATCACTCCGGTTTCATAAGATTACCTCTGCAAGGAGAGAAAGCCATATGCCAGCCTTTGAAGCCCTCCTTACAGCAGGCAGAGCAACGGCCACTGCTGTTTTACATGTACTGCAGCCATCAGCAGCCTCTATCCCTACAGCTCTTGCCCTTCCACTGCCAGTTCCAGTCCTTGCCACTCAGCTGGGACTAGAGGTGCTTCCTCCATCAAGAAAGCAGAAGGGAGACTCAGGGAAGCAGGCAGGGATGGAGAGCCTCAGGAATTGCCTCCTCATGGTGGCTGCCCCGTTGCATGGCAGCTTCAGAGGAGCCCCAGAACTGTGAAACAGCCCATTGCGGCACTGTCCTTTCTCCAACCAACTCAGCTTGGCTGCTGGTTGGGATTCCTCCAGCAGAGCTTGGCATCATCTCTGGCAGCTCCTGAGCTGGTTTGTCTGGTGCGGCTGGTTTGGAGAACCGCTTTTATTCCCGTTCCTTCCTGCTCAGCTGGAAGAGGCCTTGGGGGCTCTCCATGCAGGAGCCCAGCACCACACACCCCAACCAGGTGCTGACGGAAGTCAGGGCTTTTCCCCACCCCGACCCAGTTGTGTGCAAGACCTCACACTGGACCGTGAGGCATCTTTAGACGTCCTCTTGGCACAGCCGGGAGCGCCAAGCGGTGCCTTTTCAGTGCGGCGCTCAGACATCCGCTTACACGCTCCTGACAGCGCCCAGCCGGCCTGTGCTGCCTTGCCATGCCATGCCGTGCCTTGCCAGCGCCTCGGCAGCTGCCAGCTGGCAGCCACCGGCCGGGCTCCTCTGAGACACACTGCCCATGGAGCAGAGGGAAGCCGAGCACTGCTGAAGGGCTCAGGGGGCCAGAGGAAGCACGTCCCTCCACAGCACACGGGCCTTGTGCATCAAAGGCTTGTGGTGAGCCCCGTTCCTGCACGGAAAGGGGAGCAGCCAGGTGGTTTTGGCAGCGTGTTGGAATGTAACAGTGCAAGAGACTCAGTCCCCAGAGTCACGTCACACCAAGGAAAAGGGCTCCCTGTAATCACTCTTGTGCTGCCTCCCCTGGCATCGTAGACTCAGTCGCTCCAAGCAATGGCTTTTTTGTGGCTGTGCAGATCAGATGGGATCTCACTGCCCAGAGGAGGAGCTGAAGGGACAGTGCACTCCACATAGCTGGAGAAGGTGACTCCTGGCACCTTCTGCTCACAACTGGGCTCCCTCCCCCGTCTGCAAGATGCAAAACTTCCCTTGCCTCTCCCAAACCTCCTGTTCTCTCCTGCTAGCTTAGCTCACGGCTCCTGGCATGGATGCCAGCCAGCTGCTGCCCAAATCTGGGCTTGGAGATGCTGGACACTGCTCAGCTAGGCTTGTGTTTGTTATCCTGCACATTTGCATGGGGAGGATTTGGGGGAAACCCTGATGTACAATGCTGAGCAGCACAGGCGCTAATCCCTGCTCCAGGGGTGGTGGGGGGAGAGCTGTCTCCAAACTGCTCCCAGCTCAGCTCTGATGGCTTTTGCCTGCACAGACAGGAGAGGTGCCCTGGGGGGTCCCTCCCTGCCCCAGATTTTGGGGTGAGCCCTGTCACAGGGAGGGTGCTGCAGCCAAGGGTCCCCCACCACCCCTTGGCCGAGCCAGGTCTGCTCGGTGGCAATGGATTTGTTGCCATGGAAACGGCATCTGCTCGGGCTGGGCCCCCCAGGAGGCAGCCGGACCCCAGCAGCATCCGCCGGCTACCATTTATTTTTAATAGGGCTCAGCAGCACCGGGTGGCTTTGTCTCCAGGAGGGCCCAGAGCAGCAGAGATTGCTCAATGCCCTGCAGCCCTCGGACAGGAAGGGACAATCCATGTGTCCCTGCAGCTCCAGCCAACAGGACACTCATGGAGAGAGAAAACGTGGTTGGATGAGCAAGTCTGGGTTCAATCCACGCTGTTTTCATAAGCTGCTTCCACTCTCCCAGCACTATTTGACTTCAGCTGGGAGTTGGAAAGGGAGGAATAAGGGCAGGTCCAGGCTGGTGAGGGCAAGCCCTGGAGAGCACAGTCCATCACACAGGTCCTTTGCCACTGCCTCCTTCCCTCTCCCCAGGCTGAAACAGGGTCACCAGGACAAGATCTCTGCCTAGTTTGGCTGATGAATGCAGCTACCAAGGTGGTGTAATATATTCCTGAGAGAAGGAGAGATCTGGAGTCAGGGTCCTGCTGAGGGACCCTGTGGGGTCCCAGGAGCACTTCTGGAGCAGTGGGTACGAGGCAGGAGAGCAGCACAATGCTCAACACTTTCCCTTATTCACAGCCACTAGAGGAGCAGAGGGAATTGATATGGGACACAGAGGATGAGGTGCTGGGTAAAGGGGTCAGCTCTGAGGCAGGTCCGTGGTGCCTTGGCACAAGGCTGCAGCCCCCAGTACTCTCAGGAAACAGCTACTACACAAGGCCAGCCATGAGTGCCAGTCTGCTCCTCTGGCAGTGCCAGAGCAGTGTCAGCAGGGCTTCAAGCCTGTGCCTGTCCTCCAAAACACCACCACCATCCTGCCCTAACAGGCACCAAGGAGCTGGGCCAGCCCTCAGTGCCTCCCCACACTGGCACTGCCACCGGAGGTGAGCCAGCCACTGAGCCACCCTCGCTCATGGGAACACTGGACCAGGACATCTCAATAGCCTCATCCAAGCTCCCTAGTCCATGACAGTGGCACACGCATCCCCACCTTAGGACAGCACACATCTGGGATATGGAGGGTATCCAGGAGTCTTGGCTCACAGGCACTGCTCCACCATGCAGCACTGTTGGCACCACATCCCAAAGCTGCTGAGCCCACCAGGAGAACCGGCCTCACATGTGGAGCACACGGGAACCCCGAGCCTGTGCTCACCTCCCCGAACATCCACAGCTCCATGGCTCCAGGCTCCACCGTGCCAGCAGCCAGGCATCCTCACTGCCCTCTGGGAATGCTGGCCAAGCTGCAGGCAGGGAGAGAGGCAAGTTCCGGCCAATGGAGACATGACGACATCCCTTATCTCTCCAGAGGAAGGGAGGGGGCAAATTGCATCCTCCAGGCTCAGGTGCACCAGTGCTGGGTAAAAGCTCATTTCAATGCAGAAGGTTCCCTTTACATTTGTCATTACTATTCATGCCACCATCAGGCTAAACACAGCAAGTTAACCCTTTGGAAGGGGAAACACTCCGGATGTTTCAAGGAGGAGGAATAATGCAGGTTTCCTCCCTGAGGAGTGCTTCCTAGGGAAATTCAGCCCTGGAGGTGTTTAAGGGGAAGCTGGGGCAGGTTTTCTCCTGCCCAACCACACTCAGCTCTGAGCTGGGGCAGAGGGGCAGCACACAGGGCACAGCGTGGCCAGGCACCATGGGGACATGCCATCAGGAGATCATCCAAGTGCTCCTTGTGACAGGACCCAGCTGTCAACAGGCACATTACCCATATCCTTGGGCACAAGCAGTGATCCTCACATATAGCTCTGAGTTACCTGCCCCTTGGGGACAGGTCTGTTCCTGGCAGGTGCCACAGTCCCCACATGGGGATCCTGCCAGCCCTTCCCTCCCCAGGCCCTGCAGCACTGCACAGCTGACACTCTCTCTTCCCCTGTACAGTTCTCCAAGGAGAAATACATCCTCGACTCATCACCAGAGAAGCTTCACAAGGAGCTGGAAGAGGAGCTTAAGCTGAGCAGCACCGACCTGCGGAGCCATGCCTGGTACCACGGCCGCATCCCCCGGGAGGTGAGAAGGGGAAGGTGGGTGGCTTTGGGCACCCTTTGCTTGGAATGTTGTGGAAGAGCACCCCAAGACCACACAGAACCACCAGCCTGTCCCCCTGGGAAGCCTCTGGCTGAGAGCTTCGTTAGCTCTGAGCTGCCTGGTTTTGCCACGGGAAATGCCCTCCCACAGCTCGGAGGCCAAGGGGAACAACCAGTGCCCCAAATAACACCCCAGTGGAGCATCCACCCATGCTCCCAGGTTGATACAGCGTGGCTGTGGCTGAGCTGCTGCCCTGTCCCCTGCCAGGTGTCCGAGAGCCTCGTGCAGAGGAACGGCGACTTCCTCATCCGCGACTCCCTCACCAGCCTGGGCGACTACGTGCTGACGTGCCGCTGGCGCAACGAGCCCCTCCACTTCAAGATCAACAAGGTGACGGTCAAGTCCAGCGACGGCCATACCCGTGTCCAGTACCTCTTTGAGCAGGAGAGCTTTGACAACGTGCCTGCCCTCGTCCGGTTCTACGTGGGCAACCGCAAGGCCATCTCCGAGCAGAGCGGAGCTATCGTCTACTGCCCCATCAACCGCACCTTCCCCCTGCGCTACCTGGAAGCCAGCTATGGGCTGGCCAACGGGAAGCATGGGGGGTCCCACAGCCCCTCCACCCAGAAAGGGGGGCACATCAAGAGGAGGAGCATCACCATGACAGACGGCCTGACCGCAGACAAGATCACCAGGGCTGAGGGGTGCCCGACCAGGTGAGCACAGAGCCTCATCCCAGCTCAGCTGAGCAGAGGATCAACCCCAGGAAAGAGGGAGGGCCGTGCTCAGTCCTTGCTCCTCGGGTGCAGGGCAGGGGTTTGGGATCAGGGATGGAAGAGAGAGACCAGCAGAGGCATGGGAGAAAGAACCAGTACTCAGCTGGAACTGAGGTTTTCTCCTAGGCTGGCTGCCAACCACACTGAGCTACCACAGCACACACGACTTTAGCATTGCAGGCCAGAAGCCAGAGAGTGTTTTACAGTCACCCAGTCCAGGATTACCAGCATGTCAGGGCTTGTTAGAGCCACAGAGCCAAGCTTTCCCAGGCAAATGTAAGAGGAGAGTCAGTCCCAGCCATCAAGAGAGCATTTGTTGTTTGTTTTTGAACAGCCCTTTTAGTTTCAGAGCCCTTTCCATTCAGTATTTGCAAGGAGTTACCAAGCAAAGCTGAAAGCCTGATGGGCAGGAGGAGGCCAATGCTCCACAAGGCTGAGCTGCTCACATTAACTGAGGGACAGCTGGGCTTCTCCAGAGGTGGAGAAGGAGACTTCCTCTGTATGGCTTGCTTTTGGCAGTCCTGGGACACTCAGAGCCCTGCAGGGAAGGCAGGGCCACACACCAGCCAAGGGGAGATCCCTCTCCTCCTGCCTCCCCAGCAGGACACAGCCTGTTGTTAAAGCCAAGCTGCTTTCTCACCACCCCGACCTTCTCAGCCCAAGGGCAGGGTGAGGACGCGCCAGCAGAAAACAGGCAACCAACTGTTATGGCTGGGAAAAGGAAAACACTCAGACTTCCAGGAGAGCATATGTGTTTCCAGAAGAAGAGCCCAGATCCATCAGTCTTTCCTCATCACTCACATTTTCCCAAAACCAAATGGGACAGCCACTGCTGTCCCATTGTCCTCCCACTGTAGAGGCCCAGTGCTCAAGACCAAACACATCACAGCAGCCCAGCCCTCATCCACGGCAGGCAGGGCAGTGAACCACCTGCCATATCTCCTTCTAACCCTCCCTGTGCTCAGCACTCCCAGACACAGCATCTTTTGCAGCACCACTGACACACAGTGTTTGCATCAGGCCATCACTGCTGCCCCACCAGCCCAAGATTCGTTTGTTATGCAATTCCCTGACTCTAATTTCTAGGACCTTTCCAGCTCTTCTAAGGGTCAGAGCAATAGTTCACCTAATTATCCTGACAGGTAGAAATAGAGTGACACACCTAGCATTAGACACCAGCTTGCAGCACAACCCTAGAAAACTACCCCCCATGACTTCTTTGCCAGAGCCATTTGCCCATAGCACCCTGGAGCAGAGTGAACTGAATCCATCCCATCCCAGGTACCTTCGCATGGTGTGCTGTTGCATCCTTCTCTCCTGCTCCTCCTCCTCTGCTCTGCTCTGCTCTGCTGCATAGGACCAAGCTCCCTGCATCAAGGGCTGTCTCTGCTTTATGTGGGTGCTGACCCCTTCTGCTCCCAACTGCTGCAGGAACTGCCAGCTCATTGCTCCAGCTGAGCTTGTTAGGGTTTCAGCTCCTTATGGGTAGTCATGGAAGGAGATGATGGGGCAGCAAACCCTCATCCCAACCCCTCTGCACTTACCCAGGCCCTGCTTGCAGGGACTAACCTTCCCTATCTCCCCCCTCCCCAGTGTGTCCCTGCCCCACCACAGAGACATCATTCGCAACTGTGCTGTCAGTGTGGACCAGATCCAAGACCTGCACTCCCCGATGTCCCCCATCTCCGAGAACCCAGCGTCACCCGCCTACAGCACAGGTAGGCATCGCCCCTCCACCCCACTGGGGACAGTGGGGATGTGGGTCAGGCTGGGTGTGATGCAGGGACCTGGAAATTAGGGATGGAGCTTGCTATAAAAACAAGCCCCTGTGTCATTCTCTGCTAGTGAAACTGTCTGGCACAGCAAAAAGAGGTGTCCCCATGGAAGGCTGGAACTGAGGACAGGACCTCGGCCAGTCCTCAGCCACATCATCATGCCCTGGGACCAGCTGAGTCTGTTTTGGCAGCAAGGCTTTTTTCCCCTGAGCTCCTCATCCCTGGGCTGCTGCACCCACGGTTCCTATGTGTGTGCCCATCTCCAGGCTCTCTAAATGTCTCCTCTGCTCCCTACACAGTTACACGGCTAAAGCCTCATGCCTGCCAAGCAGCCGGGATCACCCCGACCTCTCCAGTGATAAGAAGGTCCAGTGAGCCCCAACTGTGCCACGGGAACAACAGCAAACCTCTGCCAGACCCTGCCCACAGCTCCCATTCGACTCCCTGCCATGGGTATGCCCGCGCCTCCCCCTCTCCCTCCGTGAACAGCTACAGCGACCCGGACTCAGGGCACTACTGCCAACTGCACCCCACCTCACCCATCAGCAGAGACCGGCCAGCTCATGACACCAAGCAGATGCCAACAAAGAGCTACGTGGAGAGGCTAAAGGTGGAGGAAGGACAGAGAGGGACTGTGGAGAACAGTTCTGGGGAAGCAGAGGCAGGGCAGAGGCTGAAAGCAGAGCCGGACTTCATGGGCTTTGTGCCCCCCACCATGGAAACAACTTCCTCCTTCAACCCTGCTGCCTTCCAGTCCCTGCTCATCCCCCTGGAGAACAAACCCCTGGAGATGACCGTGCTCAAGAAGGTCAAAGAGCTGCTGGCAGAGGTGGATGTGAAGACACTGGCCAAACACATCACCAAAGTGGACTGCCTGGTACGGCCAGGGTCAGGCGGGAGGGGTGGGCACTGCTGCGCTCTGATCACTCTGAGCTGGCAGATCACTCAGAGCATCCCTGAGCACTGGAGCATCCCTGCTGGGCTCTACCATCCTGTACCAGCCAGAGCAGGCAGAGGCTGGGCTGGGGTGAGAGGCTGCCTGAGGACGCTTCAGCCTCTCCTCAATTAACAAAGGTCTAATCAGCTCTCACCTTCCTTGCCAGGTCGCCCGGATATTGGGTGTCACGGTGGAGATGCAGCGGCTCATGGGGGTGAGCTCTGGCATGGAGCTGCTCACCCTGCCCCACGGCCACCAGCTCCGCCTCGACCTGCTGGAACGGTACGGCCACGGCGGGGATGAGCCCACCGTGCTGCCCCATCCCACTGGATGGGCATGGCCCAGCCCCCTCCCTGGGGTGTCCCCAGCCTGGCACAGGGGTAAGGGTGGAGATGGGGGAGCACCCCCAGCCACCCTGCACTGACCCTGCTCTCTGTCTCACCCCACGGCAGGTTTCACACCATGTCCATCATGATCGCCGTGGACATCCTGGGCTGCACGGGCAGCACGGAGGAGCGGGCGGCCCTGCTCCACAAAACCATCCAGCTGGCTGCCGAGCTGAAGAGCACCATGGGCAACATGTTCAGTTTTGCTGCTGTGATGAACGCCCTGGAAATGACACAGGTATGGGAACACACTCTTTTACTCCTCATGGCCTGGGCTCAGCCCCTTCGCCCAGTACACCTCCCCCCTATTGTCCTGCAGGATCCAACAGCCATTGGGGTGGGAGAAGGGGGGAAAATGCCCAGAGTAGGAGGCATGGGGCTGCATCCGCTGGGATGTAAGCAGGGAAGGGGAAGAGCCATCCTCTCCGTGGAGCAGACAGCCCAGTCCCACCAGGATACGATTGTTTTTCGGTGGTTGGGCTTTTTGTTTTGTGCTGGGCTGTGTTCCTGGGAGGAAATGAATCTGCCCTCCGGTACAATACAAATCAGTCTCAAGGCTGTGGCAGCCGCGTCTCCGGGCCACACTGCTCCCTTTGGAAGATGAAAGGAGATTAAAATTCAATTTTAAATCGAGCCCAGCTGGGAAGTCTTGCTTCCTGCCTGCACAAAGGAGGTGGAACGGCTGCCCCCTCCCTGCATCTCATCTTCAAGGCCGCTGCGACGCGGGGAAGCTGCTGTCCTGGGGCACAGGGAGGGGGGAGAAATCCTGAACCCAGCCTCTGTGCCAGGGATGTGCCATCTTTGGCAGTGAGTGCTGGTGGAGGAGGCTGTTTTGGGGAGCAGCAAGCACTGTTGTGTGCAAGGCTGGGGACCATGGCTCCAGGGCCAGGCTGTGCTCCTGGGAGCACCCTGCGAGCCCGGAGCTTGGTGCTCAGGGGCTGCACTGCCCCCAGCGCCCTCCATCTGCCCCATCTCCTTTCAGATTGCCCGGCTGGAGCAGACCTGGATGGTGCTGCGGCAGCGGCACACAGAGGGTGCAATCCTCTATGAGAAGAAGCTTAAGCCATTCCTGAAGAGCCTGAATGAAGGGAAAGGTAATGGGAGCAACTCCCCTTCTCTCGCTTGCCTGCTCCTTCCCACTCTGTCTGGGCACAGTCTCACTGTTTGAGAGCTCTGACCCTGTCCCAGACAGTGCCAGACACTTCCCCTCTGGCTGCTGAACCACCCCAGCACCCAGCAGGGCCCATTTGGCCTTGTTTGCCTCTTCCTGCCCAAGGAAGTGTTTCATAACTAAATAAAACCAGCCAAGCCAAACCCTCCACCCGCCTGGCAGTGAGTGCCAAACCCAGGGACAGGGTGGCCAGCCGTGGAAGATGAAAGCCATGTCCCTCCAATGCCCAGTGCTCTGGGATCTGCAAACCTGCTCCCCACTGCAGCCCTGGGAAAAGCAGGGGCAGCAGCATTCCCTTCCCAGCACAGCCAGAAAGCCTGACTGGGAGGAGCTGGTGTCAACGAGGCGATGGCCCCGGGCACAGATCGAAGAGGCACAGCAGCTGCTGTGCTCCAGCTGAGCCTTAAAGCCTCCCCTGGGAGTGCATTGGCAGCCTGGCTCTGCAGGGCTGTGTGGCCACACGAGTGCTCCACAGGGAGATGGGGAGGGGGATGCAGGGTCACGGGGCCGCACAGGGTCCTAAGGGTGCCTCTCTCCCCAGAAGGGCCGCCGCTGACCAACACCACCTTTCCCCACATCATACCCCTCGTGACTCTCCTGGAGCGGGACAAGGCTCTCACGGACAGCCTCGAGCCCTGGGAGGCCACTGACAACGGCGTGGAGGTGGTCATGGCCCACCTGGAGGCGGCACGGATGGTGGCCCACCATGGTGGGCTCTACCACACCAATGCTGAGGTGAAGCTGCAGGGTAAGCAGCAGAGCCCCTTTCCTTCTGCCACAGTCCCAGTGTGCAGCTCCAGGATGGAGCATCCCATGGGCACGGGGTCCCTATCCCATCCTGGGGAACTGACTCTCCCTCCCTGCAGGTTTCCAGGGCAGAGCGGAGCTGCTGGAGATCTTCAGCACCGAGTTCCAGCTGCGGCTGCTCTGGGGCAGCCGTGGGGCTGAGAGCAGCCAGGCCGAGCGCTACGAGAAGTTCGACAAGGTCCTCACTGCCCTGTCCCACAAGCTGGAGCCAGCAGTGCGCTTCAGCGAGCTGTGACCCCCCCCAGGCCCTGGGAGACCCCCCTGCTCCCAGCCTGCACCCCTCTGGCGGCTGTGGGGTATGGGATGGGACCAGGGACCCAGCACTTGGAGGAGGAGAGATGGCCCAGAAAGGTGCTGGGGCACAGGGCAGCAATTCTGAGACAGAGGAGGAAAAGCAGCCACCTCAAATCTATCACTCACCTCCTCAGGACACAACAGGGCAGGAGGTCCACACTGCTACCCTGAAGGATGGGGACAACATCTGGGCACGCCAGCACTGGTCTCCACCACCCAGCCCTGCTGAGGTCCATGACTACACAATGCCCCTCACTTCACCCTTCAGTTCCATTTCTTTTCCCCCCTGTCTCACCCACGGCCACTGGATCATGCGTGTAAATACATTTTCACGATCACTTCTCGATGTACAGACTTGTGAAGGATGAAGAATGTTGTAAATAATTAGGCTCATTCATTTTGTCCTGTAAATATGTGTACATATCTCATGGGTTTGTTTCTTACATATAATAAACTTTTATGCTGTTCCTCAAGGGGGTTCCCTGTCCTGTGGGTGTCCTTTAGACGAACCCCCTGGGGGAGCAGAGCCCAGGAAGGGCTCTCTGGGGGGATCACCCTGCTGAATCCAGCCCCACCTGGCACCAGGCAGCCCTTCAGGTGTCACAGAATCACAGAATGGGACAGGTTGGCAGGGACCACAGCAGGTCATTGAGTCTAACCTCCCTGCTCCAGTCCCCCAGTTATACTCATTTCCTCTCTACTGGACCTGTTGCAGGAGCTCCATGTCTCTCTTGTCCTGAGGAGCCCAGAACTGAACACAGCACTCCAGAAACAGCCTCTAGGACTGAATAGTGGTGCAGGATCACCTCCTTGACCTGCTGGCAATGCTCTTCCTAAGGCACCCCATGATTCCATTGGCCTTCTTGGCCACAAGGACACAGTGCTGGCTCATGGACAGCCAGTTGTCCACCAGGACCACCAGGGCCTTTTCTGCAGAGCTAATTTCCAGCAGGTCAGCCCCCCACCTGTACTAGCACTTGGGGTTGTTCCTCCCCACATGCAGGACCCTGCATTTGCCCCTGTTGAATTTCAGAAGGTTCTTCTCTGCCAGAGTGTCTCGGGTCCCCAAAACAAGGGGAGGTACAGCGACACTGCTCAGGGCGGGGGGCGGGGCACTGCGGGCCAGGCCACGCCCCGTGACACATGACCACGCCTCCTTCCCTTAGCACCGCCTTCCCAATGGCTCCGTCCCTTCAGGCCCCGCCCCCGCGCGGGGCACGCCGGGAGCTGTAGTTCGTGCGGGGGCGGAGGCGCGGCCGCCATGGCCCCCGGAGCGGTCCCGGTCCCGGTGCTGCTGGCGCTGCTGGCGGCCGCCGCCCGGCCCGCCGCCGCCTGGGACCTGTGGGCGCTGCGCTGCGGCTTCTCGGCGGACTGCGAGTGCGGCTTCAGGCCCGACCTGCGCGGTCAGTGGCGGCGGCGGCCCGGGAGGGGGGTCTGGGCGAGAGGAGAGGGTCGGGAGGCGGCTGGAAAGGGGCTCCCGGCAGCTCCAGGGGATCCTTCCCGGGGCCGTCCCTGGAGCGGGGTCTCTCGGCCTGCCAGGGCGCGTGGGGAGCCCCCAGGGACGGGTCCGCAGGGTGAAACCAGAGCGATGCCACCCCACCTTCTCTAAGTCTTGGCTTCACTTCCTTTCAGGTCTGGAGTTCGACTTGGCCACCAGCCTGGTGGGACAGCCCCTGGTGAGGCAGGAGGTGATGAAGGGGGTGAAGGGGTTCCTGGAGAACCAGAACCCGGTGAAACCCCTGGTGATGTCCTTCCATGGCTCGACTGGGACAGGCAAAACCTACGTGAGCTCCATGGTCATCCGCTACCTCTTCCAGGGTGGGCTCCAGAGCCCCTACGTTCACCACTTCTCCCCCATCGTGCACTTCCCCCACGCCGAGCAGATAGAGCAGTACAAGGTAAGAGACATCTCTCAGCAGTGCTGCTTGACTGGGGGTTTTCAGTTATGTCCATCTTGATCCTCAGTACATATGCATTCAAGCTGTTTCCTGAAGTGCAGTAGGAATAAAAGCTCTTTGTTTTACCCTCTCAAACACAGCTGAGTGAGTGGCTCCACACACTGGCTGAAGGATCAGCTAGTAACTGGGTTATAGTCTGGCGCTGAGCTATCACTGTCGTCTTCCCTACAACAGTCCTTGCCCTGATCATGTTCTCATTCCTTAAATATTTTCACAGCCCTTTGTACGCACAAACAAAAGTGCTTTGCTTAGATGAAAGGCACTAAAATTCTCCCTTTGCTTTCCAAACAGCCTGATGGCTGTGAAAACCTGCTGTCTCACTAGACTTGTAATCCCCTTCTCACAGAGCACACAGCTCCTGAACGGCAGCCCCAGGCTCTTCGTGGTGCCACTCTGTCTCTTGAAGCTGAGGAAAGGAAGAAACCAAAATCCCAAACCCTCAGCAGTGCAGGGAATCAGTGCACCCGGACCTTTGCTTTCTGGGTGTTTGGAGAAGTTATTTGTAGCATTGTGTCCTTAGAGGAAATGCTGTTGGGAAGGTAAATCCCATCCTGGCTGACGTGTTTCAGTGAGGAGTTACACATGTCCCCAGGGAATGGGAGTGGTTTTGTGTAGGTTGGGAAGTACCTTCAGCCCTACTAAAGAGCCAGAGTTGTTCTGGGTCAGCACAGGCACATGTTTCTGCACCAGGACAGGAGCTGGCAAGAAGCTGGGAACTGTGTAGATACACAGTGAAAGAGAAGAACGTGGGGAGATGTAGGAGTCTGAACGCCCTGCTTTAGTGTGCTGCCTCCTTCTTTAAATCTGTAATAAAAGACCTACAATAGGATAATAAAGCTGTAACAGCCACTGGGTGAAAGCCAGAATAAAGGAGCCTCCCCAGCACTGGCTGTTCCTGCTCTGAGTGGGTGGTGCTGTGCAAGGACATGCTGCTTCCAGCACCTTCAGCTTTGTGTGAGCTCCGGCCTCAGCCTTTGCTCTGGGGTAGCTCGAGCCTCCCTCATTATCTCACTGCCTTACAGCTTGGCGTGTGCTTTTCCTAGGAAAGCCTGAAGCGCTGGATCCAAGGAAACCTGACAAACTGTGGACGCTCAGCCTTCCTCTTTGATGAGATGGACAAGATGCACCCAGGGCTGATCGATGTGATCATACCATTCCTGGGCCCCTCGTGGGTCGTGTACGGGACCAACTACCGCAAAGCCATCTTCATCTTCATCAGGTGAGGGGGGCCTTCCAGCACTGGGCAGAGGTCACATCTCCTCCAGGGCACACACTTGTTTTGCTTTTCCTTCTCCAAACCTTGAGCCTCTAAAAATGCCAAGAGATTCTATTTCATTGTGAACAGACAGACCTGGAGAGTGTGAAAAAGCCTTCCTATCCCTGTTATTTCGCTACCTCTACAGGAGTCATTTTGGGCCATGCTGGGAGATCCTGGCTTGCACTCAGCAAGTGTCAGGTTGTCCTGAAACACCGTTTTCCCAGGTACACACTGAGTAAGTGTCTCATTGTTGTGCAGCAATGCAGGAGGGGAGCAGATCAACGAGGTGACGCTGGCGCTGTGGCGCGACCGCAAGGACCGGGAGGAGATCAGCCTGCAGGACCTGGAGCCAGCCATCTCCAAGGCTGTGTTTGAAAATCCTCAGAGTGAGTCCATGGAGCTGAGCCCTTCCCACAGGGCCAGAGCCTGGCACAGGCAGCCACCCATACTGCCTGTCACCTCCCTGGCAGCCAGGAAGGGACAGCAGGGTTTTCAGGGAAGGTTTCTTGGCAAACAGAAGGAATAGCCTGGCTTTCTGAGCCAGCAGACCTGTTGCCATGCTCAGCAAAGTTCTTTGGAAGGTGTGTTTGCAGCTGGGGGCTGGCAGGCAGCACAGCACGCTCCCTGTAATGGCACTGAGATGTATTGATCTCCACTGCCTGCCTGGTTCTCCTTGCTTTGCCCTTGTCACAGGGAACAGAGCTTAAATTCTGACTAGACAAGCTAAATCCCCTCATTCCTGGAGAACAAGTCTTTTTGGGGCTAAAGGGGGTGACAGCTGATGGGTTCAGCCCTCTCCTTGTACAAAACCAGAGCAGATCTCTTATCAGCAGAATATTTTGACTTTACACAAAGCAGCTCTTTGAATTGCAGGGACTGCAGAGACTCTGAAGGTAAAACCTGTCTCTTCCTTTCCCTTTTGCAGGTGGATTCTGGAAATCTGGGATCATTAACGAACATCTCATTGATTTTGTTGTGCCTTTCCTCCCCCTGAAGCACCACCACGTGAAGCAGTGTGTGGTCAGCGAACTCATCCAGCAAGGCCTCGAAGTACGTCCGGGCGTTGTCCAGGAGGTGGCCAACAGCATCCCCTACTTCCCAGAAGAGGAGAAACTATTCTCATCAACAGGCTGCAAAACAGTGGCCTCTCGGATCAGTTTTTTCTTGTAGTCACTGTTGAGAGCCTCGCTCAGATCCATAGGGGATGTATATGGAACTGGAAAGCGCCCAGGGCTGGCGGGATGAACACTGGGAGCAGCATGTCCCTCCTGGCACCACAAGTGCTCTCCTGCTGAACTCTCTCCAGTGGCTGTGGGACCAAGTGCAAATTATGTGATTTAAAGCACTTTATTGATTCACCCTCGGCCAGGTGAGGATGGATGAACCACCCGAGGCGTGTGTGATGACACGGGGAAGATGCTGAGAGGGGCTGCAGCATCAGGGAGGTTTCTCAGCCTGTCAGCAGCACCCACCCACAGCTCTCTCCCCCCTCCTGGCAGCTGTTGATACCCAGCACATCAAGATTCTGAGCCCACAGAAGAATACTTATTTCTTACAGCATATTAACATTTTTTTTAAAACCTTTTTAATTGTGGCTGTGCCTCAGCTCCTTGGTCCAGTGTGACAGTGCTGGTGCTGACTCCTGTGAACACCTTCAACAAAGTTTTCTTTTCAAGGAAGTTCTAGAGCCAAGTTTTTTCCAGCTTCCTTTCACTGTGAATAGGTGCTGTTAGGGACCAGCTTCACCACCAACTGAGAGGGGTGATATGGGAGATGGCAACACCTGATCTCCCAAGAACCAAGCTCCCCTACTATACCCTCATCCATTTTTCCCCTCAGGACCAAAGGATTACCCTGCAGTAAACCAGGAAAACAACAAAAGACCTCTTGCTTGTTTTACCACCCACAAAAAATTTCATGCTACCTCCAGGGGAGCCCACGGTACCACTAATGGCTCTGAAAATTCCTTTTACTCAGTGATGATTTCTGCAGCAGACTTGGTGCTATGAGCTGTGGAGCCTCTTGTACGTCCTGCTGGTTAGACCTTGGCGGGCTTTGGCTGGGCCAACACCCTTTCACCTTCTGGGGAGTGTCACAACAGGGGACCTGGGGACAAGTCAGAGATTACTGCTCCACACAGCCAAGCATGGGATGCACAGCCTGGCCTTTGCCCAGCTTTTGATCTCCTCTGTGCATCACTTCCTCACAGGTCAGAGGAACTAGAATCATTCACTCTCTAGGAACAGCCTGCTCAAGGGAT